GCAGGTACTGGCCCTCCCCAGCTCCTGTCGGCTGGTTCTGGCGCTCCGGGCCAGGGTAGCGTGGGGAGCCCCGTGCCCCTGCTGCTGGCCACTTCCAGGACCCACACATGGACAACACTGCTCTGTGGGAGCTGTGCTGCCGGGAATCCGGGCCAATGCAAAGGGGGAGAGCAGGTGCAGCGTGCAGCTGGAGAAATCGGGAGCAATGAACCAGGCGAGCCCCTGCCCACACATCCCCCAGCTCGCTAGGTTTCCGGGGGAGACAGGAACTGGGCAAAGCCCATTCATAGGTGTCGCTCATAGGCAGGAATACACCTGGGAAAGGATCCGCTCCCACCACACAGGAAAGCGGGATGGAATTGACAGAGGATAAATGAATACGGGCCATCAACTATTGCATTGAACAGCATGGCCCTCTGAAGGGACTGGTGTGGCTGGAAAAACAGAGCTGTGGTTCAACGGTTATTGGTTTACCAGGTTCCTACTACACTGTGCTTTCCAGAGTGGCCTGGCGGTAGTAGCCATGTTTTGGCGTGTGGAGAGGAAATGCGTGTGCCAAAAGGGCTATTGCGCCCGTACCAGTTACTCGCAAAAAGGCTTTAGCCTGCTCTGCTGCTGTACTGTGACTGCTCACGCTGAAATTCCTTGGATATAGAGCATGGCTACTCAACACACGGGCCACATACGGCCCCCAGCCTGTTTGTTTGTGGCCTGCAGGTGGGAGCCAAAACAAAGACGTTGTCGATAGAATGGTCTCCTGTTGATAGGCTGTTTAGTAGGTAAATCCCTGGACTGTCATTGCTCAGTAAAAGTGCTGCCATACGAGTGGAAATCAGGTAAATGTTGCATTGTATTAATATCAGCAGACTGACTTAAATGGGGCCTGTGCGTTGTGTAGTCTTGCCTTAATCTTTGAATTCTTGCCGGTCAGTGTGAAAAGCTATTTGCATATATTTGCATGTATATGTAACAACACTTAAGTTGCAGCCCTCGGCATGTGCTGTGAGTGTCAGTGTAGCCCCTGGAGCTTCCAAAGTTGAGTAACTCTGGTGTAGAGTCTTGTTCACCACCATATTATTAATTGCACTGGTTGATTTCACTGCAAAATTATATCAGTCATGCCCCAAATGAGATCCAGGCCTCACTGCCCTGACTGCTGTACAAATACATTGTCAGAGGCCGTCTTTGTGCCAAGAGTTCATAATTTAAAGAGACAGAATGGAAAAAGAGTTGGAACGCAGGAAGTACTAAGAGAGATTCAGTGGTTTGTCCAAGGTTAGCCTGGGACTGACCCTGGACATCCTGGCTCCAGTGTCTTCACCTTCGTGCTTAGCTGGTCAGTTAGAAGTGGGCAAATAATGGATGAGTTTGGTTCACTGGCTGTTCCAAACACATTAGTTAGGGTCAAACAAAAAAAGAAACTTTTCATCGTGTTTGGCAAATCCAAAAGTTGGGAGCAGGAGGAATAATTTCAGGCTGAATGAAACATTTTTGTTTCGACCTTGTGGTCGAAGTTGAAGTTTTCACCGTTTGAAATGGAAAATGAAATGTTTCATTTAGAAAATATCAAACTGAATTGTCTGGGGATTTTTTTTTCATATATTTTCTTTGCGAGGGAAGGGGGGGGTTGAGCAAAACAATTCGACAAACACTCACAAAATGTTTCAGCGTCACCAAATCTGCATTTTTCACTAGAACCCTTACTGTCAAATAACTGACAGGCAGCTCATGGGGAAAGCAAAATAAACCGAACAAGCATTCTTCCGCCTACCATTGTACAAATGCGCATGAATTGAATCTACTTGTCATGAGCCGGGATGGAGTCAGAGTCTGCTTTTAGTGACATATGGAGAAAATACTCTGCCCTGTGCAGGAGAGGAAGGTGTGGGCCTGGCTTCAAAGAATTTAGTGTTTTCAACATCTTTGAAATCTAAACACCTCATTTGGTTCAGTTTCATTGTGTGTGCAAGCCCCATGGCAGGCAGTGTTTTGATGGTTTCAAGATTTGATGGGAACATTTCACACAGTTTGAAAAATGAAGGCTGAGGCGGACAGATTGGTTAGTGCTTCCGGAGAACTGAGTCACCATCACAACTAGACCACAGACTTCCCCGAGTGCAGGGTGGTCTCCCTTCTCTCTCTGCATCTCTTTCTGCCCCACGTCCCCCACAAACTGGATACAATTTTGTGGTGACCTTGAGGCTTTTTTTCGCCGCCTCCGAGAATATTTCCAAACCCCCAATGAACATCAATCTGACCTACCAGATCCCCCCTATCAGCACCAAAGGAAAAATAATTCTATATGGACTCCCCCTGACGGTCGGAATTACAATCTGGATTTCTATATACAAAGCTTCCGCAACAACGCACAGACTGACATTATTCGCAAACGACAACAAGCGACACACAATCTTAGCCGCGCTGAATACCATGCCATCTAGAGTCTCAAAAACAACCTGGACATTATAATCAAACCAGCTGACAAAGGGGGTGCTGTGGTCATTATGAATAAGGCCGACTATAACCAGGAGGCAACCAGACAACTCTCGAATACCACACAAAGGGGGTGCTGTGGTCATTATGAATAAGGCCGACTATAACCAGGAGGCAACCAGACAACTCTCGAACACCACATTTTACAAACCTCTCCCCTCTGATCCCACCTTGGACTACCAAAAGAAACTACACTGTCTCCTTAAAAGCCTCCCCACAGCTACTCGGGAACAAATCCTCACAGAATCACCTTCTGACCCCCGACCAGGATTGTTCTATCTACTTCCCAAGATCCATAAACCTGGGCACCCCGGACGTCCCATCATCTCTGGTATTGGCACGCTCACTACTGGTCTATCCAGCTATGTAGACACTCTTCTCAAACCCTTCGCAACCAACACCCCCAGCTATCTCCGAGACACTACTGACTTCCTAAGGAAACTACAAAACATCGATAACCTCCCCAATAACACCATCCTTGCCACCATGGATGTAGAAGCTCTATATACCA